GTGTTGACTTCAGGAAAATTAATAAGATTTCTGTGGCCGACGCCTACCCGCTTCCCAGGATGGACGAGTCGCTCGATGCCTTAGCAGGTGCGCACTACTTCTCCACCTTGGATCTCCTCTCGGGGTTTTGGCAGCTACCCCTTGATGATGCATCCAAACCAAAGACGGCCTTTCGCACGCCGCAGGGATTGTTCCAATTCAACAGACTTCCCATGGGTCTTCACTCGGCCCCGGCGACGTTCCAGCGCCTGATGGAGCTGGTCCTCGCTGGGCTCCAGTGGGATTCTTGCCTAATCTACCTCGACGATGTAATCGTGTTCAGCAAAACTTTTGATGAACACCTCACGCGATTGAAGGCAGTTTTCCTTAAAATGCGGGCGGCTAACCTCAAATTCAAACCGCAAAAGTGCCACCTCATGAGGGATTCGGTTCGTTACTTGGGCCATATTTTCAGCCGCTCGGGAATTGCCACGGACCCCGAAAAGACAAATTGCGTGCGCTCATGGCCAACTCCTACCTCTGTTGGGGAGGTGCGGAGTTTTATCGGCTTCGCCTCATATTATCGACGATTTGTTGCGGGATTCGCATCCATCGCGAAGCCCCTCCACGCATTAACGGCCAAAGGGGTAAAATTCCGTTGGGGAGAGTTCGAACAGGCATCGTTCAAAGCCGTCCGAAAAGCACTGGTCGATGCTCCTACCCTGTCTTATCCAGATTTTACCACTCCGTTCATTCTGGATACAGACGCCAGCAACACCGGAATTGGAGGGGTGCTGTCGCAAATTGTCAATGGAGTGGAGCGCGTCGTCGCCTATGGCAGCAGGGTGCTGTCGCCCGCGGAGCAACGTTACTGCGTGATGCGCCGCGAATTGCTTGCTATCGTTTTTTTCATAAAGCAGTACAGACCATACGTGTATGGCAGGCATTTCACAGTACGCTCCGACCACGCGGCGCCACAATACGCCTTGCGAGTGGACCAACCATCTGGACAGCTCTCACGTTGGCTCGAGATCATCCAGGACTTTGCGTTCACTGTTATTTACCGCAAGAGGATTCAACACGGGAACGCCGACGGGTTGTCGCGACTGCCGACCAATGGGCGCTGTGCTTGTTTTTTGGGTGCGGGGCGTTGTAAGCAGCCTGACAGGGTACCGCCCCCATCCCTTGCGGCCGCGGCCGGGGATGGGGTCGGGGACCACGGGGCTCCCTCCGCGCAAGTTCCGCAGGACGCATTGCTGGGCCTCGGGTTGGACGACTGGGGACGTCTTCAGATGGAAGACGTCTCCCTCCTCAAATTGAAACGCCGCGCTAGGGATGCTGAGGGTCACAGGGGGCAGGGGGGCCCCGTATCATATGTCATCCGGGAAGGCGTCCTCATGCATTGGGATGGGGGGTCCCAATCCCACACGTTGGTGGTGCCCACCTCCCTGCGGGGGCGACTTGTGTGGGAAACCCACAGTCGCCTCTTGAACTTGGGTGTTCAGAAAACACTAGCTAAAATCGAATTGGAATTTTTCTGGCCGGGCATGGCAAACGATGTGGCTGACCTTGTGCAAGGTTGCACAGAATGTGCACGGCGGAAACCACCTGCTAGGCCGTCCTGCCCGCCGCTCCAATCCATTAAGGTTTCCCGGGTCAATGAGATCGTCGCAATGGATATTTTGGGTCCGTTTCCCGCTACTCCTCGGGGTAGTAAGTACCTTTTGGTTGGGGTCGAATATTTTACCCGATGGGCCATGGCCTGGCCACTCTCCAACCAGTCTGCAGCAGCCATTACGGAGGCCTTTTTCCAGGGCTACGTCCTGGATAAGGGTGCTCCCGAACGCCTGCTGACCGACCAAGGGAAAAATTTCTTTTCCACCCTGTTGCGGGATGTGTGCAACCTGCTAGGGACACACAAAATTCGCACCTCGCCATATCACCCCCAGATTGACGGTATGGTCGAGCGATTACATAGGACACTTACCTCCATGCTAAGCCACCAGGTGTCTGAGTCACAGACTGATTGGGATCTCCACATACCTGGTGTCTTGGCCGCCTATAGAATGGCGCCCCATGCTGCCACGGGGTACTCGCCATTCTATCTTATGTATGGTAGGGAGGTTTGCCCCCCAATCGACGTACAATTGCGCATTAAACACCCCGCACCTAAGGCTAAGATTGCCGACCACATCCGTGCTAATGGGCGTCGTCTCGTGGATGCCTGGGAGGCTGCTCAAAATAACTCAGAAGCCTGTCAGCTTGCCAACGAGCGGTTGCGGAATCTCCGCACGTCCCGCCACGTTTGGGTAGAAGGGGACCGCGCCTGGCTCCACTGCCCGCAGGTACCATTGGCTACTTCCTCAAAACTGCTTAAGCCTTGGAGAGGCCTGGTTGTTATTATTCGCGTTCTCCACCCGCAGTGTGTCTGTCAGGATCCAGCATGGCAAGCGACGTTGGTTCGTGCACCCGTCACGTCTAAAACCTTACATTCAACCCTACACACCTCCTTCACTTCTCCGGGGCCGAGAGCGCGACATGTCTGACGAGCCACGCCGCGATGATGCTGCTTCTAACTCTCGGGCAGGTCCCGCTGTCCCACCCTCAGGTGCCTTGGGAATGAAACCCGCCACGGCCGACCCAGCGGGAACAAGCTTGCCCGCGGGATCAGCGACCCAGGACACAAGCGCAACAGCGGGTCGTCGGTCCCCTCCCGCCTCCGTCGCGACCGATGGACCTGCCACTCGGACTCGCTCCAAACTCAAACGATTTTCATGACCCCCGTCCACGAACTCTCGTCCCAACGCGACGCCACTCACCTTGCCATCATGTATAGTGGGCGATTGGGGCGTGCGTTCATCCTGCATATATGTGTTTATACAGTGTTGTTCTGCATCGGTGGCCTGGAGTTTTTTTTATACGCGTGATCACAGGAGGGGGAGAGGCGCTTTCTTCTCATTTTTTTTCTTGATTTGTCACACACTCATTCTGATGGTTAACAAATAATTTATTGTACAATTGTATTTTTTTTGACAGCCGGGTCGGCTGGAGACTACGTAGAGAGGGGTAATGTAGTGACATAAGAAGGGAGGGGCTGCTGGGGGCTCTGGGACCCTGGGCGGGCCAGACGCTTAAGCCTCTTGGCGCCAGGCGTTGGGTTCCCGGGTGGCCCAGGCGCTTAAGCCGCTTGGCGCCACCAACGGGGGGGGGGGGGGGCTGTGTGTGCTCTGTGGGATATCTGGGGGCGCACACGGCCCCACCCCTCGTTGGGGACTAGGCATAAAAGGGGAGCTCCCTGGACGATCAGGGCCAGTCGTAGCTCAAGACCCAAGACCCAAGACCAGCCATCTGAGGACCCTGGGACGCTGTGAGAGCCAGTGGTGGGACTCTGGAACTCCCGACTCTACGACCTTGTGAGGGCGAGTTCCAGAGCGTAGCCAGAGTAGTGTATCTAGGCTGTGTACCTAGGCTGTGTACCTGGGAGTTGTTACAGAGTATCAGGACTGTTGGACTTGGAGTGTTGGAGTGTTGGATTGTAATAAAGAAGTTACCTCTACAAGTGTCTCCGGAACCTGGTTACATATAGAAGGGACCAAGTGTCGGGTGTGCCCGACGAGCTGGGGCATGCGTCTGCCGACGTGGGTCCTCAGGAGAGTGTTTCTGTTCCGCCCCCAGGCGCCGCGCGACTGATGCCTCGCACGCGGCCGCTCGTGTCGGCCTCGTGTGCTCGGAAGGCCAAGGACCCAACGACCTGGCCTACTGTTCTGAGTGAGGAGCCAGCTTCATAGGGTCGATTTCTTGCTCCCCCTGGCCCCCCCAAGGTGGTCAAGCCCAACCCATCCGGAGAACCGGCGTCACGGACTCGTTCAAAGACTCCTTTTGCATGATCCTGCACATTGCACACTCCCACACCATCATGGGATGTCACGCTCGCGTGAGTCATAGCCAGTATTTGGCTAATCCTGCTCGCCATCGAGATCACGAGCATTGTTACACGTTGAGGGTGGGAGATGGTGATTGTGGGGATTTCGTGCGCCGCGGTTGTCAGTTTGACCGGTTGGTTTTTTGTTGTATTGTTGTCGTGTGTATATATTGTACAGTTGGGTTGGGTTATTTATGGTTGCCTTGTTATGTTGTTGGAGCACACTGGTTGGTTATGTTAGTTTACGTCGGTTGCTTGCTTTGGGGGAAGTTAGCAGCTGGGATGGCTGGAAGCTACGTGGGGGGGGGGGGGGGGGTGATGTAGTGATTGTACTTGTCACTGTGTGGTGGCGGAACTTGCGAAGTTACGGCCGGTAATGTTGTCATTGCAGGCAGCCCGGGTTGCGGGCTGCAGTACCAACACTAGCGGTGGTTGGGTGAGCGTTGGTTAGCGTGAAGGCACCGCGAGCAGTGTGCGGTGCCGGCTCCCAGTGAGGGAGCGAGAGCGAGCGTCAGCCAGCCAGAGTTACTCTGGGGCATGACACTCTGGCTGACCTGTTGTCACGTGACCGGACGATACTGGAGGGGGGCCACCGGTGGACGGGGGCCGAGGGGCGGTCACGTGATCCCGGAGAGCTCTCGGGAACATTTGAGAAGGAGCCCGAGGAGCCTGGAAGGTGGGTGGGGCTAAGGGCGGAGCCAGCCCCAGCCCAGGAGCATATAACTAGAACTCCGTGAGGAGCTCGGGGTTCTTCAAGTGTTGGTGTTCGAACATCCACGTCAGGGAAAAGCCTCAAGCCACGCGGTCCGGGACCCAGCTTGTGGTCCGGACCTGGATAGCGAACCCTGTTTAGTTCTGCCGTAGCGTGGCTGGATGAGCATTCAAGACCTGAGCGTAGGTTATACTATGTTGGCACTGTTGTGTTAATAAATAGTGTTGCTCCTAAGTTAACATCTGCGACTCAGTTGGACTCACTACATTAGCAGAAAGATAATTGCGTCTCAAATTGTGCCGCTATTGGAGTCACATCGGGGGGGGGGGGGGAGGGTTTGCAGAACTCCCACGAGCCGAGCCGAACTGAGTGCTTCCACGAACCAACCTCCCGCGCCAATTCTTTCCGAGCCGCGCTGTCCACGTTCCACAAGGAGAGTTCCTGCAGCTCGGTGCTGGGAGCCTGGCGCGCAGAAAACTTGTCTGTGTTCGGAATCAACGCAGTAAACAAAAAACAACGACAAAAAGCGCCACATGTTGTAGATGACAGCGCACGCATGTTGACATGATACGCAAACAGACACATATTCCCCCGTAAAGTCTTAACAGGCTGTTGGGGCAAGTACTGTTGGCGAATTAGCACCTATGAAGGCCGGCACGGCACACGAGGGGGTGGGTTGGCCAGCACCACGCGCCGGCCGCCTTTGTTTCCCCCGAGCGGCGATGTTTTTTTTACACGTCGCACCAGGTACTCTTTTGAGGCTGAGTCGACCTAGGGGAGGACCAGGACCGATTCACATAATTGTCACTGGTGGTGTTGGTGGCCGTGAGCGGGTTTCAAACTCGGGGCGCCGGGTTCGTAGTAGTGGCCGACCGAAACTGAATTTCTGGTTTCGGCCGAAATCGAAACCAGACCAAAAGTAAAAAATTTACTTTCGGCCGAAATACCGAAAGTTTAACTTCACTTTCGGCCGAAACCGAAACAGAAAGGTATATAACCGAAGTTACCGAATACAAGATTTATGAAATACTAGCTTCACCACGGCCGGCCGCCTTTGTCTCCCCAGAGGCGATGTTGACACACCACACCACTTACTCGTTTGAGGCTGAGTCGACCTAGGGGAGGCCCAGGATCGGTTCAAATAATCGTCACCGGCTGTAAGCGGGAATCGAACTCGGGCCGCCGGGTTCTAGCGCAGCGCGCGAATCGCTAAGTAGTCGCTGCCCTCCCCCCCCAGGTGCGTGATTTATTGATGGCCCCAGACCATGGTTGCGGCTGTAACCTTGCTCGCAAGCTGCTGCTGCTGCTGACGTGTGTGTGCGCATGCAGCCTATCGCATAGGATTGCCTAGCGCCGACTGACCGGCTGATAGACTTAGCACTTGCGTTATATTCTAAAAATAGATCTTCGGTTGACGACTGAAAGTCAATATCAGTTTCGGCCAAAACCGAAACCAGATCGAAAGCAAAACATTTACTTTTGGCCGAAACCGAAAGTAAACCGAAAGTTAAAAATTGACTTTCGGCCGAAACCGAAAGTATGCCAAAAGTGGCCATTTGCCAACTTTCGGCGCCGAAACCAAAACCGAATTTCGGTCGGCCTCTAGTTCGTAGTGCAGCGCGCTAACCACTGCACATACAAATATATAAGAAGGGTGTTTCTATTGGACTAGTATTAATGATGTAGTCAACATCAGTGAAACGTCAGTAAACGTTGTGTACGAGTACACACGTACATGTATAGTCGCCCCTCAGTGCAGGATTATCCTAGTAGCAAAAGTAGCTACATATGCTACAGGTCCCGCACTTTCAAGGGCCCTGCGCGAAATACTTTTAAGCTATCAATTCCAGTTCAATAATTCTGCACTTGCTCTATTACTATAGTACTATACCGCCTTCACTTTTATGAACGACTGGGTGTTTAAGGTTAGCGATTCGTCGTATTATCTGGTTGTATTGCAAATGAAAAATACAATTACTTTACTATGCAAGTTCAAAATTTGTGTTTTAATATGTACGTGTTTTTTAATATAGGGCCCCTTTATAACATATGCTACAGGCCCCGCACTAACTTAATCTGGAACTGTGGCCCCTCTGTTAACGATAATAAATGATTCCACGAAAACCATGATATATCGAAAGAAACTCATTGCCCCAGTGCGTGGCTCGACATTTCCGTCGTGTAGAATTAGATCACTCACGACTGGGGGTGTGGCTTTGGTTCTAATGATTAAACAGCATGCACACACACACTACTGTGCTCCCAAACATTACACAGAGCGACTACAGCTGCCACTAATTGTATAAAAAGGTGTGCTTCTAGGCCACGTGAATACACTCGTTTTTTTTTTTTATCAGGTTCCTCACGCCACACGTACGTGCGTATGTTGAACTTCTGTAGCACCACCGGACATAGCCAACCGTGCAAATCGGAGGAGCGGGGGTAGGACAACAAACTAAATAACAAAGAGTTCTCAAGAAATGAGTGTCGAGTCTAGATTTAAAAGTGCTTAGCTTGTATGAATCCTGTGGTCTGATGCTAGTTCGTGTGCTCCCTATCCCCAGTTGCATTCTTCCACACGTGCTGGAGTGTATAATTGGCCCAGGGTTTGGGTCGCTTGTATCACGTACCTCCTGCCCGGCGCTTTTTGGACCGTCTCGCCCACACAGACACGACGAGCACCAGGAGGAACAGGACTGAGCTCAGCACCGTCGCAATGATGGGGATAATGGTCACCTGGAGGAATGTGGGGCTGGGGGTGCGAGGCATTGAGGGGGAGGTTAGATGGATCGGTGTCTCAGTTGGATCTTGTATACTGGGAGTGTGTGAAATCCATGGGCGTTGAGTTGTCACGGTAGATTTTGTTGTCTTAGGCACTGGCATCTTGGGAGTTTTAGGTTTTTTCGAAGGTTTTGGTTTCCTAGGGCGTCCTGGAGTCTTAGAGGGTCCATATATTTTCGGAGGTTCAGGTATTTTAGGAGGTGCCGGTGTCTTGGGGTGTTGAGTTATTTGATAAGGTTCAGGCAACCTAGGGGGTTCAGGTATTTTAGGAGGTGCCGGTGTCTTGGGGTGTTGAGTTATTTGATAAGGTTCAGGCAACTTAGGAGGTTCAGGTATTTTAGGAGGTGCAGGAAACCTTGGGGGTTCGCATAATGTTGGGGGTTTAGGTATTTGAGAAAGCTCTGTTCTCTCAGATAGACTTGGATTGTGTTCTATCTTCTGACCTGCAACGATAATTAGGTGACAAAAATAAGTGGACATTATGACAATGTCTAGCTCTATACATGCAACAATATCTTAGCATGCTTCAGAGGAAGACGCGGTGACATAGAAGGCATAGGATGAGAGCAGTAAAAAAGCAGATGATACGGCACGTTCTCACTGAAGGATTAAATGTGAGATAAAAAATCAGCATTGTGATAAATAAGGACGTTTTATACAACAGACTAGCAAAGCAAAAGGAGCGACCTCCTTTTGAGTGCTGTTTGACATGAAGTAGGGTTAGGTGGAATTAGTTATTGGAAATGTGGGCATGGGAACGCGATTAAAGTGGAATGAGATGGGAGAGATATGTAGGAGCGAGATCCTGCACTATTTTAAACATTGTGAGGATCCTCTTATTATTATTTGTGAAATGATGGATTCCAAAAATTATATTAAAATGCGTTATCCTCTTTGGTTCTTTCGGTAAAGTCACGTAGAAATAAAATAAAATAAATAATAGAATACGACGTTTCGATTGCAACACAAGCAACCATCATCAGGTGTGAATGCAAGCTCGCAGAGATATATATAGAGAGACAAACACAGACACGGAGAGAGACACATAGACAGAGAGATACACACATAGAGGAGAGACACATAGAGAGACACACGCAGAGAGAGACACACGCAGATAAACAACGCCTCTGTGACGAAGTATTATATAGAGAGAGGTGGGGGGGGGGGGGGCAGAAAATTTGCATGTTTTATCCTGTTCACATTGTTTCTACATTTGTTTCTCTGTCCATTGTACCCATATCCAGGAGCAGCTTAAATCAGTAGTTTCCAAGCAGAATCTGAATATATTTATATTGGAGAAATTTGATGACTTATACATTTAGTTTTCACAGATGTCTAGCAGGAGTCACAACGTTACAAGAACAAACAATACAAAAATTACGAAAGGAGTGCAAAGTACAGGGAAGGTAATTTTATCACAAAAAATATATACAAATAAAACATTTCTATTTTTATTTCACCAGGTACAGCTCAGTGAGCTTATGCGCTTCTTTTTGATAAGTGGTCTCATCCCACCAAAATCTTATCAACTCTCAATATATATTCTTGGTTCTTTCGGTAAAGTCACGTAGAAGGGAAATAATAATATAATAAAAATATTAAACAATCAAAAGTATCACGACGTTTCGACTGCAACACAAGCAATCATCATCGAAAGAACACCTGATGATGATTGCTTGTGTTGCAGTCGAAACGTCGTGAGCATTTTTATTGTTTTATATTTTTATTATTTTATTATTTCCCTTCTACGTGACTTTACCGAAAGAACCAAGAATATGAATCCCTGCAGTCACGAAAGCTTTAAATCAAAATTTAACTCTCAATATGTTTTGCGCACCACCATGCACCAATTGTATATTTTTCAAAATGTAAACTGCTCTAAAAAACGATTACGTTGCTTTTAATTGACAATCTAATTCTTTGTACAATGGGCAAAGGAAGGTGGCACCAATTCCGTGACTTTACCGAAAGAACCAAGAGATTAGTATGACTAATATAAACCTGTGTTCCAAAATTATTAAATGAATACCCAAGCATAATAGACAATTATTTAGTACTTAATCTTTGGTGACACATCAGCTAGTTTAAATCTTTTTGTATTTTTGTTTTCTATTTACGTGACTTTACCGAAAGAATAAGAATATGAATATAGATTAACCGTGTATCGTACAACGTTCTTTTTCTGATTACATCACATTCGATGATTAACCATTTACTATTTTTTTCCATTTCATTGCGCATTATGAAAAACAACCTAAATAAAAATTATTTGTAACAAAAATCCTGAAATTAAACAATTTAAAGGCTACACCAAATCCCCTTATGCAGTATAATTTCACAAGTTTGGATGAACAGTGCTAGTCAATCTAGATTAGAAGTTTTCGTGACTGCAGGGATCCATACTATCTGTTTTTTTCGGTAAAGTCACGTAGGTATAAAATAAAACAAATTAAATCACGACGTTTCGATTGCAACACAAGCAATAATCAGCAAAAAATTTTAGTGCTGGTCACTTTGGAAAACTGATTTTTCTTAATTTACCTTTCATGTTCAGGTCAATTGCGTCAGAGACTTGAACCACTTTGTCCCGGTTCTCGTAGTACAGGACTGGCTGGCAGGTGTAGCTTTTGAAGTCATTTATGTTGACATCTCGTATCGAGATGGAGGCGTCGTTTTTGTTCAGGTCTCCCACCAGAGAAAGACGGCCCTTGAGCGACTCGTGCACAAATCTGTCGGCACTCTGGAACACAATTCTGTAACGAAACATGTCCGACTTCCAGGACACGGTGACTCTGCTGGGTGGGGAGTGTGCGGGGTACGAGAAGGAGCATGGCAGCACCACGGAGCCACCCTCCTCGGCCTCCACGAACGTTTTCACACAGACCCGGTACCCGTCAGTTGCACATCTGCAGCTCGGCATCGCATGGCTCTGGCACAACGCCCCTACGCAAAGGACATCAGAACAGGAGAAAGACAATGCTTATATTAGGGATCCATTGAACTGGTAATATTGTGTGTAGGACTTTTTTGCACCGTCCGTAGCCAACCGTGCTAATTGGAGGTGCGGGGGAAAGACAAACTAAACACAAAAAGCAATTTTTAAGAAATTCGTTTTCAAGCTAAATTATTTAAAAGTTGCATAGCTTCAGTGGCTTCCTATTATCGGAAGGGAAAGCGTTCCTGGCGGCTACAGAAGTGCATCCAAAGCGCGTGATGCAGCGACCGTCTTTGTTCGATGGCGAGATAAAAGCTGCTGCAAAGTTGACCGGAATTCGCGTGATGATAGTTTATGTGTTCCTTAACGAGGTCAGCGAGGTCGTGAACATGCAGGGTTTCCACTCCAGGGTCAGGACCCCTTATGGAGATGATCATTGCCTCGCACGAATTTGAGCAGGGAAACAGCTTAAGAGGGAAATTTTGCAAAAGTTGCCCAAACGGCCAGTTGCAGCAGGGGGCAGGGTTTGCATCTGGTAACCAGCCGGTTATAAAACTCATACTCGTCACATAGAACATATTATACACGGTAGAGAATCCCCAAGAAGTGATGTGCATTGTCATCAACAAAGCAATATTACAAGTCGGTAAGGTCTACCAAGGCAATGTTCGTGATCACGTGGGTGCCATACATGCTGTCTACAGGGAGAGACCAACTTTGACTCTTGGCTTCCAAGTAAGAGCACTCCGGTGCTAACATCGACACACACACATTTGTATTTCGCCGGACGTTATTGCGAGAAGTGTTTTGCTGTATTTGCTTGGATGGTAAGTGGATTCTTTAGGAAAACACCTACCATCTTCGGTGTCCAATCTGTCACCATACGAAAAGAAGTAATATTAATTTTTTTTTAAAAACACGTTTTCATGAAATGTACCGTACTCGTAATGGCAGAACTCCACGACTCCAGGAAGTGGCTCCGAAGCTTGCCATAACGTAAGGGACCGTCGTGATTTACAGGCAACGTGAGTTGAGCGTGAACAATTAGACCAAAGCCGAAACATAACATATAAAAAAGATTGTCTAAAAATATTTAAAAATAGATATTTTTATATATTTTTTTATGATAGAATATAGTATTGTCATTAGTATGACATAAGTATACTAAGTTTGCAGTCGATACCACATAGGGAAGTGGGTAAAATTGAGTTACAAAATTTGAGGATACAACAACAGACAGAATGAGTTAAATCAAAGCGTGTAATAAGCTACTCTGCTTTACTACAGATTATCCCAGTTTATTTAATTTACCCGTAAGTGACCAAGGACCCGCGACATGAACAGATGGTGGGAAGTTTTTAGTGCCACCAACGTCATCTACCGTCCGAGCACTGAAGGACCCAACTCCATTGAGACCAAATCATGGAGAACTGAAAAAGGGAGAGAAATGCTGTCAACGTTCGCTGGAGGGAGCATTTCGAAGACCTCAATTGGGATTCTTTGTCAACGAAAGTGTCTCAGCTCTATTCCACACAAGTATATCCACACACTGCAACCTTTAATGTGAGTTTAATGTCGTCAAACGACATTCCATATAATTTACACGTATTCAGCCCATGTGACCAAAAATGCACATAAAATGCTTCCAGTCTGCCTTGGAATATATTTTTTCTCGTCACCCAGGCAAAGTGTGAACTCTTGTATTTTAATATCCGGTCTCACATTGATAACTTTCCACCACTCCCTCTCTGAATTAGGTTAGGGCAGGTCCTCCCCTCTAGTTTTCCATCCCCTCACCCTGTGGTTACTTAAATGTCAAATTACTTATCAGGTCAAAAAATTGTACAATTTTCTGGTCACCACCAAGAAATGTCTTTTTAAATAATTTTTCTGAAAAATTTACGCACATTTTGTAACAATAGGAATAGTTACTTATTCGTAGCTATTGCATAACAGACAGACCTTTGAATAAAATAACATGTATGACTGAACACATTAATTCGAATTAAAAGTAAGATTATAAAAATGTTGCTGGCTCATTATGGGTCGCCCGTTTGCAGTGAGGCTAACAAAATCATCTTGAGGATAATTTTACAACCGAAGCAGTGACACAAACTGCCAACATTGGTAAAGAACCACCTCTAACTGTGTGCCGCAGCAGCACACACCTCAAAGATGTGCTAATACTATTTTTATTTTGATATTTTATTTACCAGGTAAAGCCGACTGAGATAGAAGCTCTTTTTCAGAAGCGACCTGGCCACCAATGATAGCTTGACGAAGATGCTTATCATCATTTGGACATTCATATCAGCCAAATATTCTAAACGCACAATTTGTAGGGAAAAACCCGAGAACCCTACTCTTTCGATAAAGTCACGAAGGTATAAAATAAAATAAATTTAATCACGACGTTTCGATTGCAACACAAGCAATCATCATCAGGTGAGAAAACCACAGCAAGAACATTTTTTGCTGAACCTGGAGAAAAATCCACACGACCACGGGGCTAACATGCAAACTCCAAATATACAGGCGTCGAATCCATTACCTGCATACCAGGAAAGGGAGATGACATTTTGCCGCAGCGGTGCCCCAATAAACATATCTCTGGGAAATTAATAGAATATCTGGTTCTGGTCGAGCTCTCAGCTTTTAATCTTGCTTTAAAGCTTTCGTGACTGCAGGAATCCATACTCTTTGGTTCTTTCGGTAAAGTCACGTAGGTAGAAAAAATAGAATAAAAATAAATCACGACGTTTCGATCGCAACACAAGCAATCGTCATCAGGTGAGACAGATACAGCAGGAAAACTACGGAAAACAGGCGAGAGAGCTGCCATGACAAGAGGTTGTATATGTCTGAGCTTGGAGCAAACCCAAGGGTAAGTGGGCGGGGCTGGAGGTGGAATAGAGAGGGGGCGGGGCAGAAAGTGGGCCTGTGGAGCCGCACGTGAGACACGGGGGGAGAGATCTGCCGCAAGAAGAGTGAGAGATCAGCGGCAGGGGGGAGAGAGGGGTGGGGGGCAGAGATAAGAAAGGGGGAGGCAAGGGGGGAGAGAGAGGGGGGTGGGGCATAGATAATCGGTGGCAGGGGGAGAGAGGCTGTGTTAGTGATGTTAATGTGAGAAATTAGCATGTTAATGTAAGATCGGAGAGGGGCCTCAAGACGAGGGCGCGGAGGTGGCTGTGTTAATGTGAGAGATTAGTATCTATATATATAAAATCGCGAATCTGTCTGTCTATCTGTCTGTCTGTGTGTCTGTGTGTCTCCGGACCATAAGCACTTTCATTGGACGCCGGTTGCCCCTGCCAACGGCTAGCGACGCCTTCGCCGCTTTCATTGGACCTGGCAACGGCTAGCGACGCCTTCGCCAAGGGCTGCACTTTCATTGGACGGCGGTTGCCCCTGCCAACGGCTAGCCACGCCTTCGCCACTTTCATAGGCTCCGTAATTAATTAAATAATAGCCATTACACAGTATTGTTGGAGCGCTGAGGGGGGGGGGGGGGAAGGAACGCCACCCATACCCTGCCTCTGCCTGGTGCCCAATTTTGGCGAGGCCGCAGGCTCTGCACGCTACTAGGCCTCGACACCCACCACGCCACTCTGAGGTAAATTCATCAAAGTTTTTCGTACTCTTCACTCCACCCCCACCACAATGTGTGCAATTAATATTACTTTTAAACCCAACGCGCTAACAATCGATTACTTAAATGTTCACTGTACAAATAGTCATTAAGCTGGGTCAGCGTACTGGCAGTCTATCCTGTAGACTGTAGCCTGCTTATTAAGCTCGGTGAGCGTACTGCCACTCTATCATGTACACTCTAGCCTGCTTATGAAGCTGAGTGCGTGTACTGGCAGTCTATAATGTGGACTGTTGCCTGCTTATTATAATCGATTCTTTATATGTTCTTTGTACAAATAGTCATTAAGCTGGTTGAGCGCCCCCAGTTCGATTCCAACTCACGCCCACCACCGCTGACGATTCTTTGAAACGGACCTGGGCCTCCCCTAGGTCGACTCAGCCTCAAACGCGTAACTCCTGTCGTGTGTGAACATCGTCACTGGGGAGACAAAGGCGGCCGGCCATCGTGGATCCAAGTTCCGGGCGAAGCCGGGTCATGTCTACGTGTGTATGTGTTTATGTGTATGTCTGTGTGTCTGTATGTATGTGTGTATGTATGTGTGTGTATGTGTTTGTGTGTATGTGTGTGTGTATGTATGTGCGTTTTTTTGTATGTCTTTATGTGTATGTCTGCGTGTCTGTATGTATGTGTGTATGTACGCGTGTGCATGTGTTTGTGTGTATGTATGTGTGTGTCTATGTATGTGTGTATGTGTTTCTGTGTATGTATGTGTGTGTATGTATGTGACTTATGTGTGTGTCTGTGTGTCTGCATGTATGTGTGTGTGTATTGTGTATGTGTTTGTATGTCTTTGTGTGTTTACGCTCGCATTACACAAATGTGTTGCAGGTCTAAGGCGTTCCTTGCGCAGCATTGCCGCTCCCTGAAAGTCGTGTGTGTCTGCAGCAAGCGCGTGTATGTGTACCTATGGACGCGCGCGCGTGTGTTGTGTAGGGGGAACGGTAGTGTAGTGCTTAGCGTGCTGTCTGTGTCTGTGTGTCTGTGTGTGTGCGTGTGTGGTGTGTGGGGAGCGGTAGTGTACTGCTTAGCGTGCTGTCTGTGTGTCTGTGTGTGTGTGTGTCTGTCTGTGTGTGTCTGCGTGTGTCTGTGTGTGTGTCTGTGTGTGTGTCTGTGCGTGTGTGGTGTGTGAGGATCGGTGGGTGTAGTGCTTAACGCTACGCTGCGCTACCAACCCGGCGAA